TATTCAATAATAAGAAGCGTGTTTGACAAATGAATGTCCCCAGAGGCAACTAAAAAAAAGATGCACTATTTAAAATCGCATACCATGATAAAACATAAAAAAACAGACTAAGTATTATATATTCCGACTTCATACCTGGGTTTGAGCTGGTTAACCAACGTGAAAGTTTTGTTTGATGGTGTGCAGAAAGCGAGGATATAAGACGCCTCTGCAGCCTTTGTAGTATTCCGCAGTTGATGCACCTCATCGTAATCCACAAAACAAATCCAAAACGCAAAACAGTTACTCCAGTATTATTAGCAAGGTTAACAAAAACACGCTGTCAAAAGTGCCAAACACGTTCCGTTTCGTTTAAGTTCTTTTTTTTTTTTGGTGAATTGGATAAAAATAACACATAACATTATCATAATATGAGTATATTTTAAAATGCAACTAAAACCAATGAATACAGTTTCGTATGAATAAAATGTTCCTAGTGTAATGCATTTGTCGATCATATCACACGTTTTCTACGAGTGTAGTTTAAGACACGTGGTTTGGAATTGGAACGTCTTTTTATTTATCTTTCTCTATGGACTATTATGGCGAAACTTGACAAACCAAGTTGATTTTGTTGCATTACTTTTACATTTTTTTAATAATAATTGTCAGGTCTGGAGAGGCTAAAAACTACGTAATAATTCATATTTCTATTTGTATTTTACAGTGTATTAATTTCGTTCGTGTACGTGGAATGTACTTTTTTGGCCATGTCCTTTGATGTCAAAAGCCTTATAGCCCGGTTGAACCTAAACCAGCTAGGTACTATCCACTTAATATAAAGCTCGACTTTATCTGATTTACTTTCACAGGAGATACAGCAAATCCTTAATTGAATATATGGGACAAGCTTGTCCGTACTCCTTAAAAAAATATGTTGTTATTATATTTCAATGTTCTTCAAAAGGTGAGCGACATTTTCTAAGCCCTTTTGCTTGTCGTTCTTTGTAAATAAGGTCACGAACTCATTAGTCCGTTGGGTCACGTAAACTGGCAAGGATTTGGGCGAGTTTTATTATTCACCCTTACTACTTACGATAGTACCTAGACATCCAATACCTCTGTTTTGGAAAAGGCGTTATTTTTCAACAGAAAATGTATTCAATTGGTATATTTTTCTTTTGTTAGTCAGTTTTTTTACTTTGTTCGTTGAATTATGCCTATGATAAAATGATTCACATTCAATATAGAAACTTTTTCTACTAACACATATATAGCCTCATTGCTCCTAGTCCTCTCTGAGTGCAAAGTATCAAACTTAGACCATTTTGGTCATTTGGTCCGTCAAGTTCCGTCCGTTCAAGTAAAATTGGCAACAATAACTTAACGTTGAGAATAATCATGATGTATGGGCGCAGGGCTCCAAACCAGACGCTTTGGCGCCTCGCCCGACAATCGATGGAGCACCCATCCCACTACCCCGTCAGGTTAACCCAACAGACGTTCGAGAGCAATATACGTATTTATTAACACCGTCCGGGCGACCGCAGACACCAAATTATAAGTAAGTTTAGTATCGCGACTAACATCGTAATTTGGGATATTGAGAAGTAATTAGAGGTCATTTGGTGAAGTAAAAATCGTTGATTATTTTACTAAGTATATTTGTATTAGATACTTAAAGTATATTTTTTTGTATGTAATATTAAATAGCGTTTTCTTTCACATTGATATCGGTAAAGCCAAGGAATTGACCAGATTCAATCACGAGACATCGCGCCCTGGAGTATGGCTTTCTTTTGAGGGGTAAAATCATCATTTATCTTCCCTCGTCCTTGGTGGCGTGACAGAGAGTGGTCAGACTCTTACTGACTAAAAACGACCTCATTCTTTCTCCTGCTTCAGGCCGAGGCCTTAGGCCAGGCATTACATTATTGCGCTAGTCCCGCAACCCCGGCTGGAGTATGCCCTGGAGTATGCTTTTACATATCTACACTGGTTCAGTCTAGTTCAGGTCTTCACAATGAAAATTTTATTTATTTTTCTTTGATTTTAAACTACACTATACTCGACATTTCTCAGTAGGATTGACTGCTCAAATAAAAATTAGCGATTCGTTCCCAATTCAATCGAATCATAAGAAACAAAATATAAAAAGATTTCAAAGCTTCAACATGAATAATGTAGATTGCAAAAAGATATCAGAGACTTAAATCAATTCTAGACAGAATGGAAAAATATTTATTATATTCAAATGTAGTGGACGAAGTTGCTGTGGCTCGGTGATTTCTGTCTACGTCGCATTGAATTGGCTGTTGGGACGGCGGCGAGGGTAATCCCGCACGAAAACGTATACGCTCACTTTGTTTTTACGACTTTAGTTCACCTGCATAAATCAGTTCTAAGGGTAACTTCGAAAACAAAGGCCTTTACATTGAAACTCTAACTCAAATTCACTCTAAATTAACTAAAATTCGCGGGTTACTCACGTGCAAATGTTGAGAAAAGCTCTACTAGTTTCGAACCACAGAGGGGTTCTTCCTCATGAGCAGCGTGCGCGGACGGGGCGACGTCGCGCAGCCTACTGGTTAGCGTTGGCGCCTGCATCGCTGTTGATGGTTGCGCTGCGGCGAGTCCAACGCGCCATCTGCCGGATACCACGCGCGTTTGCTGCCATCTCCGGCGGCGGCGCGTGTGACGATGTTGAGGCGCACGGTACGTTCACCAGTGGCGCGGGTAGTGGGTTCGATTCCGGGCCCGGCACAAAGTCTGTGTTACATATGACGCTTACTGTGTCACACTCCAGACTGGATACGCTTCGGACCGACGTAGTCTCCAAGCTCGGCTTCCACGCGGGTGGCAATGCCCAGCCACCATCCCTGTTGAAACATGGACGTCGGCTAATCTCGATAGCCTCTCGCACTTTTCGCGGAACGAAGTATTTCTCCCTCGCTAGTACGGAGACCTTATCAAAACGTATGAAGTGAGCCGCATCCGTGCCGCAAACATGTTCAGCCACAGCCGATGCCTGGATGTCCATCTTCTTCACGCTACGCTCATGAGGAAGAACCCCTCTGTGGTTCGAAACTAGTAGAGCTTTTCTCAACATTTGCACGTGAGTAACCCGCGAATTTTAGTTAATTTAGTATGTCTCACGATAGTTATTATAAAAAATATTCATTCTGTCGTGTATTTCAAGAGAAACATGGATGCTTAGAATGATTTCACTTTAAACATTACATTATTTTTATAATGACAGTCACTGTTGGTACTGGACTATGGACATACTCTATACAAGAGGGTTTACGACGAATTTTTTTTTTAATTTGGTAAATCACCGATGCCTTCTCCTGCCTTGGGTGGATACCCCGGCTGGACATCTGCCCTTGTGTGGTGTGCTTTCCTTGCCTGAAGACAATCTGTGATGGTTTCGTGACATGATGCGCCGTCGGGTCCGGTACTGGTCGGGTGGCGTGCACCTAGCTAAATCCTTGCTGGAAAATAGCTATAGCTATCCTTCCTAAAATCAGGTTTATCTGAGACCAATTAAATCTGAACTTTATCATTGGAAACTTTCGAAGAGAACTAATACCAGTATTGCAATTTGAAACTATGAAAATAGTGGAGTTTCAATGCATGTATATTCCCAACAGACTTGTACAGGTATGATGTTAATTCAAAACCAATCACTCGCCTTGGGCAATCACATCTCGAAACGCTGACACCGATCTAATCTCAGGTTATTGGCAGCTCTACATATGTACCTATGTAATGTAATATCCGCAGCGTAGATGAGAGTTCACTCACATTTCATTGGTTTTACCGCTTACTTCAAAATTTTACTTATACAAAACCCTAAGCCCCGGATTGGATTGTATTCGTTATTTAAATTTGAATTTGGTAAACATTATTTATTATACCAATATATTTTTACATTCAGTTTTTATTTAAGATCGATTAAAATAAAATATAAATACTTAACGAGAAAAATATTTTTAAGAAACCTACCAAATTTATTTTCGATTAGAAAAAAAGCCGTGTAAATAAAAAATCTGATTAACTTTTTAGTCCATCTTCCTCACCGTTTTCCCGGCGGCAGAATGCTTATTAAGGTAAGAATATCTTTCATTGGTCTTTAGAAGAACAAAGTTCATGGAAGTCGTAAAAATAAAATCTCTTTTGTTTTTTATCTTGTAAGAGAATGAAGTCTCGACTCACCTGATGGAAAGTTGGTATTTCTGTACTTTGCCTCGCCGAAATACATATCATCTAATAAAACAAAGCCTGCGGCACTAAACTGTACAATAAAATTATCCTTCGAATTCTATATAAAGCATTTTTAAAGGCATTGTGTATCTTTTTTTCTTTCTTTTACAAAGATACTGTGTGTTGAGAAACAATGTAACAAGATTGCTGTTGTCGACCTATTTCTTTATGAGAGAGTCCGAAATATTTGTGCCGTTGATCGTGCGACGAAAAGAAATAATATTTTATATGGCATTTTTACATGACTTATGTTTTTTTATGTGGTAGGACGGCAAACAAGTAGTTCTCACAGAAAACCGGCGTGAAATAACCACAGCATTGTGTTTCGCCAATCGCCGCTCAATCCCTAAATCTCCAAATCCCTAATCCCTAAAAGGTCCGCAACGCACTCTTTACTCCTCCGTTGCGGGTGTCAATGGGCGGCGCTGATTGCTTACCATCAGGTGATCCGTCAGCTCGTTTGTCGATTACAAAAAAAAAAGTTCATAATCTGTCTTGAAATCCTGATGGTAAGCAATCGGCGTCGGAATTACATGTGGGATTTTGGGAATTAGGGTTTTGGAGATTTGGGGAATGGCTAGAGATTGGGGGAAGGGAAGAAGTGTTGGGCCTCCGATAACCACAGCCAACCCACACGTGCTGAAGAATAGCTTTACCACACTTGATTTTTTTTTATTTTCGTTTGTTTGTTGTGTCTGGTGAATTTATTCTTGTATATGAATTTCGCGAAAATGTAAGTAATAAGCCTAGACAACATGTTCAAGACAATATCGTAAGTGGGTGTTTGTTTGTCTTTGATATACGTAACACACATTAGAGAGAGCAGATTTATCTCATTTCTGATATTATAAAAGTGTATGTCAATATGTGCTTATGTTAAAGTGCCTACGTCTAAAATAAATTATTTAGTTTTAGATAAGCAATTTTCTAAAGAAAGTCACATAACAAAAACCGTTTACCTACAGCTCGCACTTATTAAGTACTAGCTAATCTCGCGCGGCTCATCCGCTGCTCAGCTCCATTTGATCGTAGCGTGCGTGATGTTTTATAGCCTATAGCACTCAGAAACATTGTACCTATCTATCAGTGAAATAATTTTGGCAATCCGACCAGCGGTTCCAAAGATACCCCCTACATAAAAAATACCTCTTTACAATATTAGTATAGACTAGTATAGATACCTTCTCTTTTATGCTATGAACAGTTCAGAAACTTAACAGTGTCTGTTTTGCTTGCTTGACTAAGTTCCATCACTAACAATATCGTAAATACAATGTTTATTCACGAAATTAATTAAAATCACGAAATAATGTACATGTAGAATCTCTCTGAAGATAAATGAGTACCTTTGTATTTAATGAGACAGTTAATCTTCATTTAATGTTGAGACTATTTGATGCGTAGACAACTGACGATCTATATAATTGTGGTACCTAATTTTATTCGTTCAACGTACACTAGAAAATTAGGGGTCGTAAGGAGGTCTGTTACCGTAACCGAAATTAACAAAACTATATGATTTGCAATATAAAAGTGTTACCGGATCCGTTTTACAAGTTTCAGGTATTTTCGTATATAAAAGCGGTGTCGTAATGAATATTTTTATATCATATAGTATTTATTCATTTCTCCAATGGCAATTGTGCTGCCAGTGACGGTAGATTGGTGAAATGTTGAACTTTAAATATACGTTTTTCGTTAGATTGCTTATAATAATAGATCATTTTGGGCATATTAACACACAAGTGAAAACTGATTGGAATGATGAGTTCCAAATTGGATTTTTTTACATTTAAGTTAACAAACTGTCTGGATAGAATTTATGTATATACGAGAACCTAACTTCACTGTCAGACAGACTGACGAACTATTCTATTACTTGGCTATTTCAAAAACTAACTTACCTAATAGCTTTGTGATAGACTATACATATATTACATCAATCTGTTATTCTGTCAACCGAATTTCAGATATAGGGTATACCAAATATGGGTATTATTTTATTACTTTATCAGTATCCAGATCCGAAATGCCTTAGCGATAACATCTCTATTATTAATCCCATATGGGTTTATGTACGTGTGAAGTAAATGACGGCATGTACCTACGATGCTGACTAATATCTTGCAGATGTATGTCGGAATAAAACAGTCGTAAACAGTCCTTTGTGGCTTTCTTCATTAGCTTCAGTATATAGCTTTCGCTCACATTCGCTTTATTTTATTTCTGTTTAGCGCAGATTATATGTATTTTATAGGTTAACTAGCTACCCTTCCCGACTTCGCACGGCCGCAATGCGAATACTTAATTTCTCTACTATCTGATTTGATATTATTATACACTAGGTATGTTGATAAAAATGTGTAGGTAAGGCAAGATATCATCAACCAAATCAGTCCAGCCGTTGTTGCGTAAAAGAATAACAAACATACATCGATACATTTTCACAAACTTTGACATTTATAATATTAATAGGATATAAACCTTCCTCTTCATCAATATTATAAAAAACCCCAATCCAAATCCGTTGTGTAGTTACAAGATTTAAACATACAAAGGTATATAGGGACAGAGTAAGCGACTTTGTTTTATGCTACATAGTAATATGTAATCGAGGTACATATCAAAATGTTTTTAAGCAAGTTTAAAACTTCTGATATTTATAAACTGCCTTCATAAAGTTGTCTCTATAACTTCTCGTGAAGATAAAATAGTTCACTTTAATTTTATTTTTATTGTAACAGTCCAGATATTAATGCGGCAGATTGTCTGCAGCGTCTCGAACTTATGACAGCGGTTTTCATTTTACTCAACGATACAGAGACTTGGTTGTAACGCTGAAATTTCATATTATGTAACTCCGAGAGAGGTTGCCAGGGAAGTTTAACGAAACTCTCCGTTGACGGAAGTTCAAAGCGACATTTATGACGGAGTACCGTTATCGGTTTATTTCCTTTGAATACGGATTTACAACGTTATTTTAAGTTTTAGGGAAACTGAAAGTTTGAAGGTTAAAGTAAAATAGACTAAATCTTTATTGGTTCTCAAAATACCAATAATAAACCCTTATTTATAGAGTTTATAATAGTTGATTAATAAAACAATATATTTTTACATCTATAGGTATTCAGTTCATTTTCATCTGTAGGGTTTTCTAAGCAACTTATTGTAAGTAATGTAATGATCCACAAAATGATTAATAATAATAAAAAACCTACGCTTACGGTGGAATGGGTACAACCCTGAAATCTCAAACGTGAGCCTCTGAGAATATCATTCCACAAATGTTATGATTGCTTCATTAATACCTTTGTTCCTCTCAAACACAAAGACTCTTAAGGCCAGAGGTGTCAGCGTGAGTTGAGCTCCAATTTATGAAACTACTCATTCTGCTATATATTATTCTACAAGTTGAGTAGGTACAATAATTGAAACGTCAAAGCAAGGCCTACTCTATTATGTAATACTTCGCCTATAAGTAGCTACTTATCTCTTTTACTTGAAAAGTTTTAATTGCCTTTCTTCCATTGAATGTTCTTACTTCAGCTGTTTTCTAAAGAAAGAAAATATGTTGGTTGGCACAGAACCTGCTTAGTAGATTTATAAAACAAATTATCTTAATGGAACTCGAAATCAATGTTATGTATAAAGATAAACATGTATATATGTATGTATGTATCTGTCTATTAGGATTACGAATATAAATCCCTGTAACCGACAGGTTGACAAAATAACCTTTTTAATGCTTAGTTAAATTCTTCTAAAACCTTTTGTAATACGTCGCTTTGAATAATTGTTTTCTCATAATTGTTTTTTTTTTGATAAATATCGCGGTGTAACGCCTACGCGCTTTAGTAATGTTTTTGAAATAACATTGACTATTTAAAATTTATATTATATAACATATGCTTACAACCTACGCTACTGCGTGGAAACATGTCAAGCCACAAACATTTCTGCGTTAAATATTATCTATATACTAATATTATAAAGAGATAAAAATTGTAAGCTTGCAATTTTGTAAATTTGTATGTAGGTGTCTGTAGTTATGTGGAACCGCTGGTCGTTTTTACCAATTTTTTTCACAGATAGATAGCTATAATGTTCCTGAATGCTATAGGCTATAAAACATCATGCTACGATCAAATGGAGCCGAGCAGCGGGTGAAACCGCACGAGAGTAGCTTGTTTATAATATTATGATCATTATAAATATCAGAACCTACCTATTTACTTTGGTAGATGCCAAAGGTACTTCCAATCATTTAAATTTAGAACGATATAACAGATAAAATAAAAAAGAAATTGCCATTACGTCCTAATTTCTTCAGTCACCAAAGTTTCGATAAATATTAATGGAATAAATTATAACATCCAATTCGATTACAAACTACAGCTTAAAATTAATTGATATTCTATCGAACAATGCCCAAGGTTCAATTTACAATTATTTCTGAAGTGCGGTGTTCTACGAAGAAAGGAACAGTTATTCCGCTTTTCAAAAATATTATATCATTTGGTATTGGTAATTGTTCATAATAATAGCAGCTACGAACTAATTTGTTGTTGTCGAAACGAAATTGATTGGTATTACAAGGCACTAAGACTTGTTTTTAAAAAGCTGTAATAATATAATATACTCTGATAAAGTACCTACTAACATTGCTACCCAACTATCTTATAATATGATTACGTCATAGCATTGCGATGTCCAATGCAAATAATACAAAACTCTATTAATAAATTCTGGAATATTGCCAAATAGAATTATATTAGGCACATTCACAAAGGCTATTCGTAAAAAAATGCTCAACATTTCCCACCAGTGGGCATTTATCAAATATTTTCTGTGACTCTCGACATTTGTAGTTATTACGATGCAGCGGAAAATTATCGACCCGTACATAAAACTAGTCGTATCTACCTCCTCATAACTTAACCTAGATACAACTGGTTAAGAGCTGAGATTAATAAAACCGAGAATTTTATGACACGTAGTCTGAATGCCCGAGAATTTATTGCTGTAGTCAATCTTTATCCATATTAAGTGTACAGCTTTTCAAGTGTTAATACAGTATACTTACAGACTTAAGATAAAAAAATATCGATATCTATCGATACATCTACATATCTATGTATACTCTATACATCTTAAAATTGGAGTGTCTATTTGAAGTATGGCCAGATTTTTATCTGTTTAATAAGGAGTAACTAACAATACTTTTATTTTAGAAAAAATCTTTTTTCATATCTAAAGACTTTACATATGTATAGTGTTTCCATACATATATACATATGTGTAGCGTTTAGTCAAATTTCACGCGGTTATAATATAGGGCAAAGATTGGTAACAGCAGATTCTTCAAATTTTCACAAATTGTTAATATTATACTCTAATAATGAAATTTGTATTACATAGTAGTTTAACCCCAAAATGTCGGTGCCTTTGAGACCTGTTTCACGGATCTCGGCTTCAGCCCACGTTTTTGATAGATATTAAAGATCCCATATTCTGACGATGGAAGCAAATTAAATGCGGGATTCACTGCATAAAATAGAATTGACGTTTAAATTCATCCAGTTTTGTAACTGTTTCTCCCTAGGCTAATAAAATATGCACGCTCTGCCACTGTAAACTTTCTACAGTAAAACTTCACTGTAGTGAATTTCGAAACGTCTTCAAACTTACCAATTGCTTTTGTCTTGTTTTTTTTCTTTCGCAACAAATAGAATTTTTGACAAAAAAAAGGTAATTCAACTTAAACTTACTTTTCCCAAGATAGAAAAGTCAAGTATCTTACCAATTTTTTTGCACTTATACTATTTTTGATCTGATAGGACGGCAAACGCGTACCCGGTTTTTCTGGTGGTGAGCAATGGTGTACCCATGCATACCCGCAAAACAAGAAGAGGTAGGAGTGCCTTTTAAGAATTAGTGATTGGGGAGGTATTGAGGGATGGGAAGAAAGATTGGGCATCAGGAACCTCACTCAGATGGCGAAATACAACGCTGTATTTGACGCGAGTTTTCTGTAATGCCGTGTTATCACTTTGGTCGAGCATAACCGTTTGTGCCGAAGTATGCTTTTTCCGCCCTTCTTGACGTCTGTTATTTTACTCGATTCAAAATACCTATTATTACTTAACTCTTCGCATTTTGCACATCATTTATCTTCTAAGAGAAGCCATCTGTTCCTAGAGTCGCAATACTTTTTGCCAGATGCTCCAGTCTCGAGTCTAGTGATTGAAGACGAGGCGGGAGCAAGCTTAAGCGATTTCTAAGCGCATCACTTAGGGATCGCTTCACTGGCAAAGAAAACTATAATGCATCGCTCATACTTGTTCCATTTTATATAAACGATTTGTTCAAAGGCGAATTTGTGAGGTTGCACTTTTGTAGCTATTTTGTAATATACTAGCGACAATGCAATGCTGATACTAGATTTCTCCACTACCTGCCAGAGAAAGCAGCTTTGTTTTATACTATGTAGAGATTTTTTTTATCTTTTTACTATATGGTTAGAATCAAGTAAACCAAATAATGTCCTTACTTTTTTAAGTTAACATACAAGTTAATGTACACCTAATATTTACACGTTCGCGCTCTCACAGATTTTTGCTTCGAGCTCAATCGATCGGTTAAAAGGTCCTGTGTCGGTTTTCTTTGCTAAGTTGTCAGTTATTCAGGTCAGGATTTAATCCGTGTTTGATTAATGGCTAGAGGCTTGATTTACGAGAGGATCAACTTTACTGTCACTCGGATATTCAGGGCGTAAAAATGTCCCCTTCTTCGTAATATAGGTCTTTGTTCGTTCAGATGTAGGTGATTGAATCAATTTGTTATTGTTCCAGCTGTTCGACAGCGATGCTGTGCGCAGCAATCATGACAGAGCATTGGGAGCATGTGGTGTGGGAGCACGCCGCACTGGCGGCTCTCGCCAACGCTTCCAATACGGCCCTGCAGTGGCTTCTCGATGAGAAAGTTGCAAAGGTTTGTCTTTTATTTATATTACTCAACATAAAATAATTCACATTAACGCTTTTAATATAAAAATGTTCTACAAAAAAGTTCTAACGTCTACATTGTATTGCAAAACAAAGTTTCCAAGCTCTCGTAGTACGGCTACGAATCGTAGCACGTAGCGCTCTACGAGCAATGCTTCGTAGCAACTATCGTAGCCACGTAAGACTTTAAACTGGTCTTCTATTCGAAATGTAATCTAAAATTCTGCACCAGGTTTCTGGTATGAGGAAAATGACAAGTATTGAGAAAAAAGGAATTAATGTATAGGTTTAGGACACATCTAGAAACTTAGTGATAAACTAACGTTATAAAACCAATTAAAAACAAATAAAGCAGCCACTAGAACATAATTCATGTGTACAGTCACCATCATAATGTAAACCTTGCATGACAAACTTATTTTACATAAAACGTCCTAAAAATTCCCAAGGTTAAAAAACTCGTAACAACAAATTGGTAAAGTTGAAATTGTTGCTACTCCTTAGTTGATAGTACAGGGTTGTATTATCTTCAAGGCAAACTGGAATTCAAGGCAAGTGTCTAGGGTGCCAGGTTGTGGAAGAGCGCCAGGTTGTGGAGGAGTGCCAAGTGGCGTAGGAAAACTGGGTTGCGTAGGAGTGCCCGGTGGCGTAGGGGCGCCAGGTGGCGTAAGGGCGCCAGGCGGCGTAAGGGTGCCAGGTGGCGTAGGGGCGCCAGGTGGCGTAGGGGCGCAAAATTTCGTAAAGGCGCCAGGTTGCGGTGGGGCGCCGGGTTGTTGAGAGCCGCCAGGTGGCTGAGAGGTGCTGAAAGGACGTGTATCGTATAGAGCAGGAAAGCGCAAAGCGCGGAGGATCTAAAAAACCTTTAGGAGCGCCTATAAAGAGCTTTCCAAGGGCGCTCACTATGCCTAATCCGTCTCTGGTATAGTAGGTTGCATTATTAATCGGAATGCCAGTTGGCAATGGCGGAAACTTGTCTCAGACGAGCAGGTGAGTGATGTTTCACTTCACCTGGCGTTATTTCCCACGTGACAGACTTTGTGGTAATTGGAATTGTTCGTAGGTGCGTATGTATAATGAATAGTTGGTAGTAGAAAATGTTGATGGTGAATAGAGTCATTTTTATATTTTAATTGCTTAAAAACGAAACTAATATATTAATATACTAACTCAGGACCTTTTCCTTAAAATATAAATTGTCATACACACTTACAATTTTATTCTTCAAATCAGCTATTATTTAGCTATACATTTTAATTCAAATCTGAACTAACGTTCTGCTACAGACTACATGATTATACAAAAAAAAACTTAATAAACAATAAACAGAGTAATTCACAGCTGAGACATCAAAAAGTAGTATAAACATCAAACACATTAACCTCTCCAACAAAAACATTTAACTAACATTGACCCTTGAAAGCTAAACGATAAAAAATTATAGAAATTTTCACTAAGCCGCTCTACGCCATTTGTATCTGACAGGCACAAAGTAGAATTTAATTGCAACTATCGCTATCGACCTGCAGTTCGTTGGAACTGAAGAACTTAAGGCTTTGAGCACGTATTGAATATTTAGCTTAAGCTTACTTTTTGTAAAACAAATTATTCGGTTTCAGTTCAAAGTTGTTTACAATTTTAACATCGATGTTTTAAACTTTCAGATTTCGATGTAAAGATCCACTTTTGCTGTTATTTTTATAAAGCCTGTATAAAAATAACAGCAAAAGTATAATAAGTAGGTGAAAAAATAAATTTTTGCGAGTGAGTGAGTGAGTTAGAAGTGTCAGACTCTTACTAACTGTTGAGGTTGTACCGTGACCTTGGAACAGGAGGATGAACACGGACAAGCAAGGAGATTTGTAGTCAGTAAACCACCCTGTTCTTTCTGCTGCTCCGGGCCAAGGCCACGGTATATTATGGCGCTTACACCCGCAACCAAATTCAATTCCAAGTATTAAATTATCAGTTGTCACTAAAATTTAAATTTTTAAACAGTTATAATTAATCGATATATTGTTTTGTCTACGTTTTAGTTGGTTGTACAGATTGAGACATTATAGTGTTTGTCAGGAGGTCATCGGCCCAGTGCACGCTAGACTTACCGAAGTATAATAAGTAATTATCGTTACTAATACTCTTAGGAACCAAAAATACTAATAAAATTTTTAACATTAAATTAGTATTGAACTTATTTTTGCTCCAAAATTATATTGAGATTATTAAGATAAAAATAAAGGCGTTCTTGGTATATCAGTAGTTAAAAATGAACAACATAATAGATAATATAGCAGAAAAATAACATTATATTGTTTACAAGTCAACAAAGATTTGATGACAAAATTATTTTTCTAATATTATATTTAAAATTAATTGTAGTTTGTTGAGTTGCCTTAGTGAGACAGATCAAATTTAGGTCACGACAACCACCAGTCGTCTCGGTCCCGGATTTAATTTATTTCATTCCATATATCTTCGTCAACTCTAGGATGTGTTCCTCACGAATACCTTTTTTCCTGTGACATTCAAATAAAATTGTATTTAATAACCAGTTAGAATATTTTTACCTTTGAAACAACCCTATAGTTTTACTCTGTTGTTTTAGTAAGGTAGTTAAACATGACCTTTATAGTTTCAAACGAAAATTATCTGCCTCTTAAAATCTCAAGTTTCATAAGCAAAACTTAAACAAGTAACAAGACACAATTAACCTTAAAAACTTAGATTTGTAAATGAAATGCTTTACTTAACCTTAAGCACTTAAAAAAGCAAAGTACATAAGTTTGTCGTTTTTAGATATCACATCATCACCGTGCTTGCTTAAGGCGGATTTGCGATTTCAAACTTATAATTAGAAATTATAAGTCTAGGCTTTCTCACGATGATTTTCTTCACCATATGTGAATGGTGTCTAAATAATCTTAAAAACTACATATAAAACGGAAAAAGTCACATCGGTACTCGCCACGTTTCGAACACGCATTATATGCATGAGATGCAGGCGCTAAAGCTACCTCTCTCGATCTATACGTATATACATACATATCCATACCACGAGATCTATACTAATATTATAAAACTGAAGAACTTGTTTGTTTGAATACGCTTATATCCACAACTACTTGTCCGAATTCAATAATAATTATAAAGGCTATAGGCTATAAAACATCACGCTACCATATGAAGGAGCCAAGAGTAAACCCGCGTGTGAATAACTAGTTATTCATATAACGCTCACTTTTCTTTAATTACACAACATATTCTATATAATAAAAATTATTAGATATGTTTTGTTCCACCTACAACTTTAATTGTACGTCAAATATTCATACGATTACTAAATCCATCACATTTAGAATTAACTGTTCATCGCGCCTCTGCAAGTTGGCTTCGACCGTACGCCGTCCAAAGGTCTGGGATCTTGTGGGCCCGTGAAAGGCAAAGAACATATAATTATAATTATTAGACATCTTTTGTTCCACCTACATCTTTAATTCAACATTAAATATTCATTCGATTAAGTTGACAATAGGTGGGCTGAGTACGAACAAGACTTGACTTCATAAACAAGATACCCTCGCAAATAATTAAATTCGAAAATACCGAAGAAACTAAACCATCGTCCCGAATAAACTTTAATGTTGAAACCAAATTTTAATAAAAGTTTATGTATATATACATACAGGGTGTAAAAAGACACTTAACGAAGCCGAAAGCCACGTATTCTACTCATTATTTGGATCATTTTTTTCTTTAAGACCATAGCTGGGACTCCACGGGTTCTCGAGATATTGAAGGTCAAAGATGCATTTTTTATTTTATTTTTTTTGCGCAATCAAATTCTAAGTATTGTTATAAAAGTTTTTTCCAAACAAACATTACCTGAATTTTCGATTTTTCTAAATAAATTACGCAATTTAAGTTACGAACAGTCATGTACGCAATAAATAAATGCAGACCCGCACAAAAAACATCGTGCATCTCTGTAGGATTTTTATTTTGCAGAATTGTTTTGCTGTTGCGAAGTAAAACGTCGACCTACGTACTTATCACAGCGTTTTAATGCTAAGCCCGTTTGCTTTACATTGCGTGCAATAAAATTATTATTTTTTTGATACCTAAAAATAAAAGTCGTTTCCCAGTGATAATTTTATCGTAAAGCTACTTAGTTAGAACTGCAGTATGCGTAGTTAACGGCTTCGTTAAGTGTCTTTTTACACCCTGTGTATACCGGTGGCTAAATCTTTTTCGTCCCCCAATCCCATAATCCCCAAAAGGTCGGCAACGCACTCGTAACACCATCGCTGTAGCGAGGTTCATGGCTAGCTTTCATTGCTTACCATCAGGTAATCCGTCTGCTCGTTTGCCGACCTATCACATAAAAAAAGTTTCGTCATATTGGAGGTATTCTATATACTATCGTTACTATCTCTTTGTCTGTCTGTCGTCCTTGATTTATGCCCAGGGCTGTAAGTGAAATTAATTGCTTAGGGAAAAAATATCCCCTTTTGTTTTGTAACACTACAAACTTTTTCCATTTTCATCGTTAGCAGAATGATAAATGTTCTTTAATTTCATTGACTTGGTAATAAATGGGATAAATGATTTCAACATATTTCAAAACGATTCTTAACGAACGAGGTTAACTATATTTCAAGTGTTAATTTATATTTAAAGACAGAAAGAAATACGAACTCATTTTTATAAATAAAAAAAATATTTAAAAAGAAAATAATAAGCAAGATGTTAACAACTAAATCTAGTATGTATGAATGAAATATGAATCACGAATCTTGTAAGTAAAATAATGACTCTTAAGCACACTTAACACGGAAACTTTAATAAATTGTATGCAAAATAATAAAACCTACCGCCTTGCAAATAAGAACTTTTTGTCGTAACATCACTTATATGTATGTATGTTTGTAATAATTTCCTTTCTCCCCTTCTATTACCATGGTAAAAGTTTCTAATACATTCACCTTGACAGATTTTTATGTCTCACGCGATGTTGGGGTTAAATAGGCCTATTAAAGTCGCAAAATATTTTTTGTCAAACTAAATAAGCGAAATTATTTATGGTGTGGAATAAAAATTCTAGTGAATTATCTAGAATTTGTGGAAATGGGGTCATTGTGGCTGAAACTTATTTGTTTAATAAATTGCCGTGTTGCCACAAAACTTAAAAAAAAAATTGTAAAAATTATACACAAAAAAAATCGGTTAACGTGCAAATAGGTTGTAATTCAAACAGGTTTTTTTTAATACCAATATTACGAAATTATTCTTAAACATTTATCCTACTTTTGTCACTCCTGAAAAAGAAATATTATTACCGCTACAAATCATATCTTATAAGCTAGGATGTGTCCTTGTTTCGTCCTTTCGTTTACTTTCATCAAGAAACGCGACCTATTTTGTCCTGGTTGGGTGATATAAGATATTACTACACTCCCTGAAGCCGCCTAAAATTAATTTATTCTATCTAGAGCACACAGCGCGTATACAATTATTTACTGTAGCAAATTCGGGTACTTTCCTATAAGTGCCTACTGCTGAGCAAAGACCTCTTCTCTCAGAAGGTTTTGAGCATTAATCACCACGCTTGCCCAAGGCGGGTTGAGATTTTAAAATTACCTTTAATTAGAAATTATAAGTTCAAAGTTTCCTCACGATATTTTTCTTCACTGTTTGTCAGTGGTGTCTAAATAATCACAAAAAGTACTAGAAACTACACCCTCATGCATGAGAAGCGGGCGTCTTAACCTCTAAGCCACCAC